TTTGGTCTAGAGGTCAATGACAATGATGACTTCTCTAATGTTCGAAACATCATCAGAGAAAATCAAGCATCAACGATCTCCCCTGAAGAAATACTTGATATTTTCCGTGTTGGTCCTGAGCTTAAAAACAAAGACGGCTTGATGATCCCATGCCTCTTCAGGGTTGTTTGCAAAAACAAAACAAGCAAATGCAAATTCATTTTCTCAATAAATTCACTCGCAAAGAACAACAACATAAGAACCTTCATTCTCACCCTGATCTAACCTTACAGCAATGTGTACAATCCCAGGAGCTACGTTCTGAGTTCAAAAGTTTACATGAATTAGGTAATACAAATCTATATATTGATTACCGTGCGGACTGTATCAAAAGCAAGAGCATCAACCCACATCACAATATCCATCACCCAAACATGCAACATTAGGGATGCACGCCCCCTCCTTCCGCCAGACCCACTACTTCATATCTTAAATGTAAACTACTTAATGCAAGAAGCCTTGCAAATAAAATGCATGAATTCCTCATCCTTCTAAGCTCAGCCACATTTGACATTATATTTGTCTGTGAGACATGGTTAAATGCATCTTTCCCAGACTCCATTACCACTACAAGAGAATATCAAGTTTTTCGCGCGAAATCTGTAGAGGTGGTGGAGTTGCTATATTCTATAAAAAGTCTCTAAATCTAAAAAAAGATCTAAATTATACAAGAGCTTGCTTTTCCCGAAACCATCATCTGTGAACTGTCCTTAAACACCTCAATTCGCTTCTTACTTTGCTATCGTGCCCCTGACTATGATATAATTCATGCAAACAAGCTAACTTCACTACTGACATGGGCTGCCTCCTGCCCATACCCTCTCATTTTTCTTGGTGACCTCAACTTACCTCTTATAAATTGGACACTAAATGAATGTACATCTGAACCCATTCATACAACCTTGTACAATGCCATTACCACACTAGAACTGGAACAACTAGTAACTAACAATACTAGACTTAACAACTGCCTCGATCTCATCTTCTGCAACAGTTTGAATTCAATTTATGGAATACAAATTAATGAACCCTTTTCCAACAGCGATCACAGCATGATTGACTTTTGTCTCAACATATGTCCTCACAAAAATCACCATAACAACAGGATCCCCAATTATAACTTCAAAAAAAGCAACTATGATCTTATAGACAACAATTTTCATCTCTTGATTGGCAAATTCTATTCACTGGATACAATACTGTTGAAGACCATTACAACATATTTTTACTTGAAGTCAAAAGAGTCATCAAACTATATGTACCAATAACAACTCCCAAAACCAGAAAAAAACAAATTACCCATAACAATAAGAAAGCACCAATCCAAAAAGAAATATTTAGTGGAAAAACAAATCTGGTCATATTGCCAACTTTAAAAGCTGATACAAAAATGTATGCCACCAGATAAAGACTGAATGTACCAATTATCACACCAAACAAGAGGAAAACCTTCTACGCACCAATTCCACCCGTGCTTTCTACAATTTTGTAAAAAACAAACTAAAAGACTCAAGGTCTATCCCACCCCTAAAAGAACCAAATGGTAAAGACTGCAACAATGACACCATTAAAGCCAACCTCTTTAACACATTCTTTGGCTCAGTATTTGTAAACAGCAATGGATCATGCCCAGTATTTCCTGGTTGAACCACAGACAACTACAATGATCTAATACATACCGATTTTACAGAAGACAATGTTTAAAAAGCACTACACAATCTAAATCCATCTTTATCTATTGGACCGGACAGACTTTGTGCCTACTTCTTAAAAAAGCTATCCAGTGCCATAGCAGAACCTCATAGCAGCATAATCTTTGAAAAATCTTTCAGGACAATCTCCTTGCCAAATCTATGGTCACTAGCCACAGTCATTCCCATCTTCAAAAAGAGAGACCCTAGCCTAGTTGAAAATTATAGACCAATCTCTTTATGCTGCTTCACCTGTAAAGTCATGGAATCAATTATTAACCAATCCATTATCCTCCACTTAGAGACAAACAACCTACTCTCTAACAAACAGATTGGTTTCAGAAGGAAACTGTCCTATAACCTGCAACTCTTGTACTGTAAAAACATATGGACTACACAACTTGATCAGGGCAAGGCAATTGACTCAATTTACATAGACTTCTGTAAAGCCTTTGATTCAGTGGTAAATGGCAAACTACTCCTAAAACTAAGGTCTTATTGTATGTCTGGATACCTGCATAACTGGATAGAAGCATTCCTGTCAAACAGACAACAAATGGTCAAAATTGGGAGAGTCCTATCAAATCCTGTACCTGTCAACAGTGGTGTCCCCCAAGGCAGTGTTCTAGGACCAACTCTCTTCATTCTCTACATAAATGACCTCTGTGTTCATATTAAGAGCAACTGTGTTTTATTCGCTGATGATGTAAAGCTGTTCAATACCACAGACAATACTGCTACCCTTCAAAAAGACCTCAATTATGTGCCAGAATGGTCAAACAAATGGCAACTTCAAATCTCAACAAATAAATGCTCTGTCTTACATATCAGAAAACAAAATACAAGCTGAATAGTCAAGACCTTGTTGATGATCCAAGCTCTGTAAAAGACCTTGGAATACTCATCTCAAATGATCTAAGTGCTAGAGCCCACTGTAACTACATAGCCAAAAAGGCATTAAGAGTTGTTAACCTAATCCTGCATAGCTTTTTCTCCGGTAATATTACTCTACTAACCAGAGCATATAAAACATTTGCTAGACCAATACTTGAATACAGCTCATCAGTCTGGAACCTGCATTACATTAATACAATTTATTAATACAATTAATACAACTGAGAAAGTCCAGAAATATTTTACGAGAAGAATCCTCAACTCCTCTACTCGTAGCAGAATACCTTATGCCACCAGACTTGAAATTTTAGACCTAGACAACCTAGAACTACGCTGCCTTCGATTCAATCTAAGTATAGTATATAAAATTATATATTGCAATGTCGTACCTATCAATGAATACTTCAGCTTCAACCAAAACAATACAAGAGCACAAAATAGATACAAATTAAAGATAAACCGCACCAAACTTGATTGCAGGAAATACGACTTCAGCAACAGAGTAGTCAATGTCTGGAATACTCTACCTGACTCTGTGGTTTCTTCCCCAAACCCCCAAATCTTCAACATTAGACTGTCTACTATTGAGCTCACCTCTTTCCTAAGAGGTCTGTAGGGGGCGGGCATAAGCGCACCAAAACGTGCCTACCATCCGTGTCCTGTTGTTTCTTTTTCTTATTCATATCCATTTCATGTATTTATAACCATGTTTATACTTATACCTGTCATTTAATAGTTTGACAAAATAAATAAATAAATTACTTTCATGAGCAGTCATTCACAAATCTTTTACTCTCCCATGTGATCTATATAGCTTTGAAGGAAAGAACTTAAATCCGGACTACAACAATTGTTATTTGTTTCAGGCTCTTGAAATCTTTGAAGAATGTCTTAAGGTTATATCCAACTGCAGTTCATTCTTGCTTCCCTCAAGAAAGATTTAGACTGGGGTCTTGTCCTCACCTTGAACCGTCATGACACAGCAACATTTTTGGCAGCACCTTTTTTTTTTCTGCTGGGTCTCCATAATGTTGCCTTTATCTTCTTCCCAGCCTATGAACGAGACAGACTAAAGTTATCCATTGCATTTGTATTTCTACTCTTATCCCAGTGCCATCCAAGGGCAGTCGCATCTGGTGTAAAATTAGTTAGCAGTTATCTTGGATGGAAGTCAGATGACTGCCACTGACAAGGACAGTGAAGAGGGATCCTCAGTGGAGACAGCAAATGTCATCCAGATATGGTTACTTGCTTACTCAAGAGTAGATGGATAATTCTATAACTCAGCAGAGGCTGGAAAAAGGTCCAGTGGGTGAGGGAGGCAAGTTCTGACATTCCTGTTCACATTATTGGCCATCCTTCTTAGGGGTGCTGGACTTCTTATTCAGTAACACCTGGAGTGGCACTAGTTACTTATCTTTGGCTTGGGTTGTCAACTACCATGGACTGGAAGAATCTCTAGAACAGGAGTGTCAAACTTGCGGCCTGTGGGCTGGATGCGTCATGCATAGGCCATGCCCACCCCAGTTTAGCGAAGAGGGGGAAGTCGTGATACATCATGTGACGATGACCTAATAACACAAGTTTGACACCCCTGCTCTAGAATGATATCATCCTCCCCTATCTGATGGACTCCAGAGGTATTGGATTTTAACTGTCATCACCTCAGGCAGCTTTACTATAGTGATCTTTACTATAGAAGTTTGGGTTGGCTGAATTAGAACAACAGGAAGGTGACTTTTGTGAATTAGCAACTTGTTTCCTATGCTCTCTAGAACTAAGGAACTACTGAATAATAAACTCAGGAATATGGGAAAACTGAAATAGCTAGATCAGTACTTGGATTCATTCAAAAACAATTGTTAAAACCATTCATAGGGATCCATGGTTATTAGTTTTGATGGCAATGTGAATGTCTTTGAAGGACATCTGTTGGGGAACAACTATGGTAGAGCAGTTGACTGGCCATTGTGAGAACAAGCTTCTGGATTAGATGGGCCAGGGGTTGCTATTTGTTGTGGGAACCTATTTGTAATATAAGTACATACAGCAGAAATGCCAATAACTTCAATGAGTTAAAAAAAGTATAGCCCAAGTAATAAACTCCAAAGTGCAAATTAGTCCCCTTCTCTGTGTATTGTTAAACATTATCTTTAGATTGCCGAGAATTAGTGAGAATTATATGTAATTCGACCCTGTAATACCTGAGCCAGAAAGATTCTTGAAAACTCACGTCAGCAGAAGAACAGTGGTTTTATTGGGACATTAACACCAGTAATGTAAGTGTCTCATTGGATATGCTTTAAACGAACACAGACCTGAACTTATTCCTGCTTGACACGTTTTTTCACTTACGCTTTTCTTTTTTGATTGAAGACCCCGATTTGTTCCTTAAATCAGCTCGCCTCCAGCGCCTGCCTTCTTCTTCATCAGAAATGGGAAGCCAGGATATCTCACCACTTCGGGAGACCAGCAAGGATCCCTTCTCTGGGGACTGCAGCTGTCGTCAGGATGGTCTGACTGTGATCATCACTGCCTGCCTAACATTTGCTACAGGAGTCACGGTGGCCTTAATCATGCAAATCTACTTTGGGGATCCCCAGGTAAGAAGAGGTATTGGATTGTTGTTGTTGTTTTGCTTTGAAAAGGTGATTATGTTGAGGTTGGAAGAACATATCTCGCATATATAACAATGATTTCTAGTATTATATGAAGAAATAACTACAACTCTGCAAGCAATACTTCAGTGAAAGCTAAATTAGGAATTGTTTTACTGAGATCATGTAGTGAAGCTGCTGATTTGAGGCTGCTGTATTTACTAAGATTCTTATTTATTAATTCAAGGAAAGATGTCCTTGAATTCCTGTTAATAGAATTCCTTTCCCTTCCCTGTTATAGTTAGGGATGATCTATGTACTAGTAAGCTTTGGCAGTACAGCTACATGGTCATCCGACTTTAGACTATTTATGCTGCTGTGTTCTTTGTTTCTCTCTCTTCTCTGCTTTTCTGTAATTTTTGTTTTAGTTTTATTGCTTTGTATCATATTTTGGGATTTTTCAAACAATGAAAAATGGGGGCTAAATGGATGCATCAATAAGATGTATATAAGTATTTCACAAGTTACTATTTTTGCTAGTAGTGTTCAATGCTGTGAATTAATCTTTAACAAGGTTCTATCAGAATGGGCTTTTAAATCAAGGAGATCTCTTGCATATGGGAGTCTGACTGGCCTTCTGCTGGTTTCTTATTATAGAGTACACCAGGGTAACATGGCCAATTCTAATAAAATATCTATGTGTTTCCCTTGCATTATAATTTTCCTGACATTTTATGGCATTAAATACATAACCTGTTTTTCTATGATATGAAGATATGTGTCTTTGCTAAATTAAACAGATCTGGATTTGTCCAGTGCCTGAGACATCACCATAAAAACCCATTTCCTCTGACATTAACTCCATGATTAAGTTATATCAGTAAATGTTCTGAGATCCAGAATGAGGTCTTTTTATAAGATATTGTAACAGAAGAATAAGATACCAATAAGTGTGAAGGTGTTTTTATAGAAGATCTTCATTTATATACAGGTGAAACTCAAAAAATTAGAATATCTTGCAAAAGTTCATTTATTTCAGTAATGCAACTTAAAAGGTGAAACTAATATATGAGATATACTCATTACATGCAAAACAAGATAGTTCAAGCAGTGATTTGTCATAATTGAGATGATTATGGCTTATAGCTCATGAAAACCCCAAATCCACAATCTCAGAAAATTAGAATATTACATGCAATCAATAAAACAAGGATTGTACATAGAACAATATTGGACCTCTGAAAAGTATAAGCATGCATATGTACTCAGTACTTGGTTTGGGCCCCTTTTGCAGCAATTACTGCCTCAATGCGGCATGGCATGAAAGCTATCAGCCTGTGGCACTGCTGAGGTCTTATGGAAGACCAGGATGCTTCAATAGCGGCCTTCAGATCTTCTGCATTGTTCGGTCTAATGTCTCTCATCTTTCTCTTGGCAATGCCCCATAGATTTGCTATGGGGTTCAGGTCAGGTGAGTTTGCTGGCCAATCAAGCACAGTAATGCCACGGTCATTGAACCAGGTTTTGGTGCTTTTGGCAGTGTGGGCAGGTGCCAAGTCCTGCTGGAAAATGAAGTCAGCATCCCCATAAAGCTCATCTGCGGAAGGAAGCATGAGGTGCTCCAAAATCTCCTGGTAAATGTCTGCATTGACCCTGGACTTAATGAAGCTCAGTGGACCAACACCAGCAGATGACATGGCTCCCCAAATTAACAGACTGTGGAAACTTCACACTGGACTTCAAGCATTTTGCAGTGTGTGCCTCTCCATTCTTCCTCCAGACTCTGGGTCCTTGGTTTCCAAGTGAGATGCAAAAGTTGCTCTCATCAGAAAAGAGGACTTTGGACCACTGATCAACAGACCAGTTCTGTTTTTCTTTAGCCTAGGTAAGACGCTTCTGATGTTGTTTGTTGTTCAGGAGTGGCTTGACAAGAGGAATACGACATTTGAAGCCCATGTCCAGGATCCGTCTGTGTGTGGTGGCTCTTGATGCACTGACTCCAGCCTCAGTCCACTCCTTGTGAAAGTCCACAACACTTTTGAATGGCCTTTTCTTGACAAACCTCTCCAGGCTGCTGTCATCCCTGCTGCTTGTGTACCTTTTTTGTCCACACTTTTCCCTTCCACACAAGTTTCTATTAATGTGCTTTGATACAGCACTTTGGGAACATCCAACTTCATTTGCAATTACCTTTTGAAGCTTTCCCTCCTTATGGAGGGTGTCAATGATGGTTTTCTGCACAACTGTCAGGTCAGCAGTCTTTCCAATGATTGTGATTCCTACTGAACTTGACTGAGAGACCATTTAAAGGCTCAAGAACCCTTTGCAGGTGTTATGGCTTAATTAGCTGATTAGAGTGGGGCACTTTGAGCCTAGAATATTGAACATTTTCACAATATTCTAATTTTCTGAGATTGTGGATTTGGGGTTTTCATGAGCTATAAGCCATAATCATCTCAATTATGACACATCACGGCTTGAACTATCTTGCTTTGCATGTAATCAGGTTCACCTTTTAAGTTGCAATACTGAAATAAATGAACTTTTGCACGATATTCTAATTTTCCGAGTTTCACCTGTATATATATTACCAATAATGGGCTAGTATCTGGGATGCAAAATTTTGGACCACTTTTAGGTACAGTATCTGCAAAGCATTAGTTTTTTTCTCTATTTCTTTGCTGACATGTAATGGTCATTTTGATAGTCACTGTAGCCCCAAATATGCTAGAATTAAAATAGGGCTGTCATTCTGACAGAATGTATCCATGTGATTGCTAAGAGTTGATAAGGATTTCATGGCATCTATATCAGTAAGGTAGAGACAGTACACATTTGAAACTATACAATAATTGCTATGTAAACTGTCATTACCTTTCCATAACCCACAATTACAATTACCCTAAATCCACTGCTACCCTTCACAAAAAGACCTTGACTATGGTCAAATGTGGCAACTTCAAATCTCAACCAACAAATGCTCTGTCTCACACATTGGGAAAAAATCAGAACATAACATACAAGCTGTATGGACATAACCTTGTAGATGACCAATACTCTGTCAAGGACCTTGGGGTACTCATGTCTAATGATCTAAGTGCCAGAGCCCACTGTAATAACATTGCCAAAAAAGCATTAAGAGTTGTTAATTTAATCTTGAGTATCTTCTTCTCTGGTAATGTTGCACTGCTAACTAGAGCATACAAAACATTTGCTAGACCAATTCTCGAATACAGCTCATCTATCTGGAACTCGCACTGCATATTGGACATTAATACAATTGAGAGAGTCGAGTTATTTCATGAGAAGAGTCCTTCACTCTTCTGCTTGCAACAGAATACTTTATACCATCAGACTTGAAATTTTGGGCTTAGACAACTTAGAACTATGCTGCCTTTGGTCCAACCTAAGCGTAGTACATAAAATTATCTGCTACGATGTCGTACCTGTCAATGATTACTTCAGCTTCAACCACAAAAATACATGAGCCCACAATAGATATAAACTTAAGGTTAACCGCTCCAAACTCAATTGCAGAAAATATGACTTCAGCAACAAAGTTGTCTATGCCTGGAATTCACTACCTGACTCTGTGGTCTTTTCCCCAAACCCCCAAAACTTTAACCTTAGACTGTCTATTGTTGACCTCATCCCATTCCTAAGAGGTGTGTAAGGGGCGTGCATAAGAGCACCAAAGTGCCTACCATCCCTGTCCTAATGCCGCTTTTATTTGTACCCATGTACTCATAATCATGTACCTAATTATATCTGTTATCTAAAACATAAAATAAAATAAAAATAAAAAAACAATTGCCAGGTACTTCCTAAATGTACTATCATGGAGCCAGCCTGATGATTGACTGAATAAGTCTAAGGCTGAGGGTGGTGGGGGACTTTCTAATGATTCAATCAGTTGCAGTTGTAGCTATTGTCTCACCATGTAGTTTTTCACAGATATTCCACCAGGGTGCTGTAGTCACTGATGCTGCTCGCTGCACCGCCCTGGGGATTGAGATACTGAACAAGCAAGGATCCTCAGTGGATGCAGCTATTGCCTCAGCCTTATGCTCAGGAATTATCAACCCTCACACAGCTGGCATTGGCGGGTAGGTGTCCAGCAGAATCTCTTTTATCGATTTGTTATCATTTTACCAAGAAAAACATTCAGCTAGATCAGCTAGAATACTTTATTGGCCAAGTGTGATTGGACACACAAGGAATTTGTCTTGGTGTAAATACTCTCAGTATACATAAAGAAAAGGTACATTCGTTAAGAACCAAGAATCATAACGTACAACACTTAATGATAGTCATAGGGTACAATCAACAATCAAATCATACTGGGAAACAGTGAAGTGGGAGGGGATGGGTGATAAGGAGTGATGAGAAGATAAACAGTAATAGTAATGTACACTTTGTAAATAGTTGAACAGTGTTGAGAGAATTATTTGTTTAGCAGAGTGATGGCTTTTGGGAAAAAACTGTTCTTGTGTCCAGTTGTTCTGGTATGCAGTGCTCTATAGCGTCGTTTTGAGGGAATTCACTGAACAGCCCCTGTTTCTATTTTTCATTGATGGATGAATAATTCCTGTTCATCCCCACATGAAATATATTGTTCTGCAATGATGAAAATCTTGTGAAATACAAAATTATTGAATGATAGTCTTGTATTTTAATATCTGTTGCTCAAAGAGAAGATTTTAGATTGAAAGACACTGAAAATTTGAGTATAGAATGGATTTTGCCACAAGACATTGTGGAGAAATCTTATACCGCCAAAATGTTCTCTGCTGGTTTTTATTTTTCAAGTTAAACGATATAGGACCTTATCTAGGGAAGACATCTAATGAGTGGAATCCAATTTGAGTAGATTGGTGGCTAATTTTTTTTCCTGTGAATTCCTTCTGGCCAAAGATCAAGCCTAACCAGATTGCACCGCCAGCACCTCAAATTTTGAATGGTCATTGTTCCAATGTTTTAGTATAACCTAGGTTGTCTTTGTAATCCTAACTGCTCTTGTGACTGTTGCCATGGTGTCAGGGATGTCCACTTGGCCTGGTAAAGTTAAGATAGTGGCCACAATGGTGTGGCCATTGTGGCCACTATCTTAACAAACTCTGTTTTTGGCTGCAACACATATTGCTTATAGCTGTTGCTTCCCATCAATAATCAGGCTGTTTGTTTTAGGTAGATATTATACAAGTTAGATTTCAAGGTCTCAATGGCTGGAAACCAGGAAGCTCTAAAGCATATAATTACATGAATTATGTAACCTGATAATGACCCACCAGCTGGGATCTGAGAGAACTTTTGTTAAAACTGGAAAATCCAGTTTGGTATCCACTGCACTTAATTAGAGAATAAAGAAATAAAAATAATCCACAAAGATAAAGCCAATTTATACTTCCTTTTCATACAGACTGGACTAAGACTTGAATTGCTCTATTTTAAATGGTGTATTAGATGAATAGTAGCTATGGTTTAAGAAGAGAAGCATATATTAGCCCTCTTTCTATTTTATCATAAGGACTCACTTGTATAATACTAACCTGAAGAGTAGGAGTCTCTTAAAGCAAACACATCAACACAGTGTTCAGAAAAGTTATTTTCACATTGCATTTGTTATATTTAAGCATTCTATTATTCTTTTTTATTAATGTCCTGTACATTTTAAAATGCATTTTGTAGCAGAGGTAAGTGCTTTCAATTTTATTAAATTTTATTAAATTAAATTAAGAATAGACTTGTATAGCTCTGATATAGAAGAAGTAGAAAGCAAATTTACAACAGATTGATCTATTATATATCTATCTAGAATTGCTTATTCTAATATTCTTTCTTGAGTGTTTAAGCATTGTCAGTCTTAATTTGGTAAAATGAAACAGCTGCTTTGAGCATCAAACCAAGACAGATGTCAAACTGGAGCCAAGTTCCATTCACTGCTCTCCCTATTCACTATCTCAGCTGTTTTTTCATTGTGTTCAGAATACATCTGTCTCCCATATATCATTATGAAGAATCCTCAGTTCAGTTCAGCACATTGTAAGATGCAGCTGTTTCACAATGCATTATTTTGAGAACTCCTTCAGAATGACATTGTTAAGGCAGTCAGTAGAGAAAAGAGTGGAGCTGTCACTGTCTCCAAGAAAAGGATGCACAGGAGGGTACGATCAGTCTTGGGTTGCTACTTAAACTACAAAGGGTAGATCCTTTGTACTGGAGCCCAGCTGAGAAAAAGTCATTCTGGAGATGACAAAGTATTCTTAATGTAAATTTTACTGATCTGTGATTCCACTGTTGCAGTGGAGGGGTAATGCTGGTTCATGACATCAAGAAGAATGAAAGCCAGGTTGTTGATTTCCGAGAAACCGCCCCCTTCAACATCCAAGAAGACGGACTTAGCAAGTTTTGGGAAACAAAGGTGGGTCATTATCTTTATTATTTAGGTAATGAATAGGAATTGGTTGGTAAAGGTCTCCATTCATCTCTTGTCATTCCTTGTTTTTCTCACTGAATTAGTAAAAGTGCTTTAAACAAACTTTTATCTTCCTCTTCCGATAGAGACTCTCTTGACTTTGTTGGTATTTTTAACAACATCCCCCATTTTCATGGTGCAATGGGCCTCACTCCTGTTTAAAGAATTTGCATCTTCTCTGTACCTTATCTTCTTGCTTCTTATTTGGGTTTTTCAAAGTTTAATTTTATTTACTCATTTCAACAGTCTGTAAAACCATTCTGAGTTATGGTTCAATGGATAGCTTTACAAATTAAATAAATTTTAAAAATGTTTTTTTTTAAAAACAAATGGATTTAAAGTTAGATTCCTTTTAAAACACTGTTTTCAAAGTTCTTGACTCTTTCCTTACATTCTTCCCTTTTTTTATTTTTAATCCAGCCGGGTCTCTTGGTGGGTGTTCCAGGAATGATCAAAGGACTCTATGAAGCACATCAGTCTTTTGGGAGGTAAAGAACATTTGTCATGTGGATGTACTACATTGTTTGATACCAGCTGGAAGATGAAGTTTGTATGTGTTAAATAACAATATGCCATGTGCAAGGGTTGTTTCTTCATATAAATGGAAGTAGTCAGATCCACGTGTCATATGCAATTTTTAATGTGTATCTATCAAAAGCTAATACTGTAAGTGCAAAAATAAAATGTGAATGGGACAGACATGTTCACTGTGCTAAAGTTTAGTTTACTTTATTGTCATTGCACCACAAACAACGAAATCAAACACCATCTTCAGTGCACATCATGACCATGACCATGAAAATAAACACAAACACAAACACACATCCTTCACCCTTCACACATTGAACCGGAAACCCCAACACCATACCAACACTGCACTATACAGCAACACTGCACTAAAGTGCACAAAGAAATAAGATCAGTCATCTCTCTGAAAAACCTTTCATCTAGTAACCAAAAATCTCTCATATCAGGGACCAGTCGGTTTTCAAATACCGAAGAGGTACACAATGGGAGTCTCCAGAGTTTGTGGGGCCCTTGGATCCTATAATGTAGCTTTCAGATTGCTTCTAAAAGTTGCTAGGAAATTTAATTTCTATCAATTTCTATCAGAACTTTATAAAATTTGTAGGGAGAACACATCTATTATCTCTCTTTCATTAGCCTAATTACATTTAATCAAAGTTTTACATTCTGTTATCTTTGCAAGTGTAGCTGTTGGCAGAGGTCCTAGAAGTTATGACTTTCTGCCAGATGTCTTCTAATTTTTTTCACTTCCTATTATCACATTGCTTCAATTCTACAGTACTTTGACTTCACACTTGTGTCACTTTTGCTTTTCTTCTTTCTGTTCATTTCCCTTGAAAATGCAAAGCTTGGACAATATATACAAAGAATAATTTTGTTAACAATATTGAACAAATTTAAATGTAATCAACTCAATTTTAATTCTAGTCCTGGCAATTTCTGGCCTGCAATTAGCAGCAGCAGCAGCTTCTCTTCTTGTTCTTTGTCGTTATTCACCTTCACCTCTCCCTCCTCTTCCAATATTAGTATTAGTTGTTTTACTGCAAGCCCAAGCATGAAGGACATGAACTTGGTGAAAAATTGTGCACTCCATTGTAATTGCCATTCTTTGTTTATATTTTGATATCTGTCAGTAGTTAGTTATGTATGTCTTCTTCAGAACAACAGAAGGACAAATAAATTAACTTGAGTTCTACATAAAATGGAATTGAAAAATTCTGCCTAAGATTATTTGATAACATTTTCAGTATGGTTTTATATTCCTAATGAGATGAAGACTATCAAGTCAAGCCATTACTTCTGTTTTTCCAGGCTGCCATGGAGACAGTTGTTGGGCCTTGTTGCAGACATAGCTCAAAATGGATTCAATGTCACATATGATTTAGGTGAGTGCTTTTGCAGAATAAGAGGTATGGTGAAGCTAGACTGTATGTACAAGAAATGCCACATTTTTTTGATGCTGGCCAGTGCAGTATTTCTCCAAATTTTCCATTACTATCAGTATTATTATTTGCTTTCTTCCAATTATATTTTGGATTATGAGAACAGGATGACATGGTGGTTAAACGGCTGAACTAGAGATGGGGAGACTCAGATTCTACTCTTTTAGGCAAGAAGTTTGCTTGAGTGATATTGGGCCAGTCATCCATTAATAATAATAGCAACAATAAACATACTATTCCATCCATCCTTCCTTCTACACTTGTCCCCACCACCTTTTCATAGCATCTACTACAAGATTGGGGAGAACCAGTTTGATAAAAGTTGAATATTGATTCAATTGATTGAGAATTGTACAGAGAAATAGATTAATAAATGTCTTCTACTCTACCTTTGTTTCTTCAAATTATTTAATTGATTCTTAGACAATATTGTTGAGTAAATTTCATGAAATTTAATTCTGAATAGACATACAGAAGATGGATATTAATTTCAATTCCTATGCCCTAACTCCATCAAGTAAATGTCATGCAACAGCTTATAAAACACTAGGTCTGCTTTCAAATAAGACATATTTATAATAATATAATTAAAACTCTTAATTTTTTCTTCTATTTACATGTGCCTATATGCACAGATACACACACACACACACACACACACATATGTATGTGTGTGTGTGTGTGTTTTGGGACTTAATGCTTATAATATCCCTGTTGTAATAACTTATATGAAAGACTGTATAATAATTAGATTAGGGGACTGAAGGAGTAGGAAAGAATTATTTTATTTATTTAATATAATGCTTAGATTACCTAACAACTTTTGTCAGCTTATAATTAAAACAAAAACAAAACAAGAAGAAATAATCAGTGGCTCAAATACAAATATAAAAACTACCTAACAGATGCTCAGTCATCACCCTGCTTCAAAGCCAGGGAGAACAGTCAAGTCTTAATAACTTCCTCAAAATGAAAGTCATCTGGGCTTCCATTTCCAAAGAATAGGCACTGTGACAGAGAATGGAACTTCCTAGGTCTTGCTAGCTGACACTTCTTAAACAATTGCACCTACTGAACCCAACCTCACTGGGGAGACAGGAATAACTGGAGTCAAGCAGGCCTTCAAATACTCAGGCCCTATGCCCTAAAGGAAAGGTTAAAGGCCAGACAAAAAATTCATGGTCCCCAGTAATAGCTTCTTGAGAATGGAATGAACCTTACCACCTTTAGGGATAAGGAGATGACTCTTTCCCTCAAAGAAGCAGCTATTGCTCCATGGATCCAACCACAGGTCACTTTCCAAGCAGGCTTGACTTGCTTAAAATAATCCTTTAAGATTCTGCTACAGACATCTCCACTGGACAAAACCACAGCTGGAGTCCTGGGCTATCAATGATCTGGTATCAAGAGGGATGGCTGTTGGGGCTGTTCTCAGATAGCAGTCCCAATGTCACTATGTATGGCCCACCATCAAGCTCTCACAATCCCATCCCCTGCCTGTCATGGTCTCAGTGACTCTACCGATTGTTCATTCTCTCCCCAGTTCCCTCCCACTCCTTTTTTCTTCTTGCAGGCTGAGGCATCCATTCACCACACCCTTTCAAACAACCCAGCCCCTCATGGAAATATCAAAACTCTACCATGAGAGCACACTTGTTTTCAAGCATTCAAACAGCACATGAGGATCCTGGATCCTGCAGCAGTTTCCCAAAACATCTCTGTTACATCACTGTCCTTTCATCTTCTACACAGTCCGAAAAAGATTTTAAAAATTAGGTGTGAGCAAATACTCCAGTTCCTGACTTCACAGGGGAAAACAGATAGACTCTCATTGTCAGCAGAGAGGGTAACTTTCTAACACCAGCAAGGAACTCAAGTCCACAAGAGCCTCCTCCCAGCCTGGCACTGTCCTCATCACATCAGAAGTCTCCAGGTACTTTTCAGGGCATCTCCTGAAGTCATTCTTTCTGGAAAAAAGCATCCGGGGAGGTCAAATATCTAGACCTGGCACCAAGGGGATGGCAGAGATTCCTTCAGGTTTGTGCCAGGATCTCAACTGGAGCTACACAACACAAAGCCAGCATCCCAGCACAACCAGCTATAGAAAACACTTTAGGGATTAGAATAGAAAAATAGAAAAAAACCTTATTTTTGAATCCAGAAGTCCCTAAAAGTGAGAATATTAGATATATTCAGTATAACAGGTTACAAGTGCTTTTAGAAAGAATTTTTCCTCAATTTCTAAGTTAGTTTGGAAAACTTTAATAACTCAACATTTATTCTTTTGTTATTTCTGTCATTTGTAGCAATGGCTATCAAAGAAATGAAGGAACACTACAACCATTCAGAAAAATTCAGAGAAATCTTCTTTCCTGATGGGCAACCTTTGTTGCCAGGAATGTTTGTGAGAAGACCAGATCTAGCAGCTCTTTTGGACTTGATTGGATCAAGAGGAGTGTCAGCTTTTTATAGTGGAAATGTGACACAAGAAATTATTTCAGAGGTGAGTCATTCATTGCTGTTCTGTACATTTGTCTGTATACATGGGTGTATGTATGAGTGAAGAATATTCTTGTTAGTGGCCCAAAGCATTTTTTTATGGAAAGGTCTGAAGCAAATAAACTAAACACATAAAACATATAATTGCAGAGAATTCCAATTCTTATTTAAATTAATCTGGGACAATGAGTTTCAGCTGCACTTGGGAAGCCTTATTTTAAATTTTCTCTAGTATTCCAAACATTGTGTAATGGTGGGAAAAGCCTGTTTGTCAGCCACTATCAACCCCCACTTAGCTAAAAGGGAATATTTGTTGTACTAGGATGCACTCATTAGACAGGCCCAACAAATCTAGGAAGTAATCAATATGAACAGGATGACCTATGTAAAATTGGAATTTTTCTTCTTTCTCATTCTCTTCAACTGTTGATAAATTTGTATAGTTCCTTCAACATACTAAAATATGCATGTTATAATATGTTTACAGATAAAATAACTTCAGATCATTGTTTTGTAGTTGCTTAGCCATTTTTAAAGTTATTTTAAACTATGACAATGCACTGGAATTAATAACACTATGATCCTGATAGCAGTGTTCCAATATTTGAGGGGCTGCCACAGAGAGGAAGGGGTCAAGCTATTTTCTAATACACCTGTAGGCCAGACAAGGAATAATAGATGGAAACTGAACAAGAAGAGATTTAACCTGGAAGTAAGGATAATTTTTCTGACAGTGAGAACAATCAACCAGTGAAACAGCTTGTCTTCAGAAGTTGTGGGAGCTTCATCACTTGAGACTTTCAAGAAGAGATTGGACTGCCATCTGTCAGAAATGGTGTACGGTCTCCCCCTTGGGCGGGGGGAGGGGTTGGAATAGTTGACCTACAAAGTCCCTTCCAACTCTATTAATCTGTAAAATCTGTAATTCTCTCACTAGGTCCTTAAATCTGGAGGTACTTTGTCTGAAGAGGACTTTACCAACTACACTGTGTTGGTTGAAAATCCAGTTCATACAATATACCAAGGTAAAAAACCTCTTCTATAACCTCTGCTATTATTTCTATCATTTAAATTTTAATTTTAAAATGAATTTAGGAAGTACAGCTACTTTTTAGGAAAAAAAACTAGAAACCTAGATTGCACTTGTTTATAAATTAGCATTGTGCTCAGAAAACAGAATGAAAACTAAGCCTCATTTATGTCCATAAAAACTGAAAAGAGAAATAATAAGGTATTCCCAAACCTTACCATGTCATTTCTGCTGAAGTCACAAGTTGCTTTCAAAATATTTATTTCCAGACAGTTTTCTCATAACAGAGGAATCTGAATAACAGTTTCAGAAAAAGCAAGACTAAGCTTATAATGTTTTCTTACATAGGAATCAATCTTGCCAAACTCAATAAGATTCTCTTCTGAATAGATTGTTCTGAACTCCACTGTGTAGCTGCCCTTGGTTTCATATTAGTCTAACCCAGTTTTTCTGTGGATTTCTCCTTCTTTCACTTGAATAGGACATCTTGTTCTGAGTCCACCACCTCCACACACAGGTCCTGCTTTGATCACAGCCCTAAACATCCTTGAGGGATTTAATATTACCAGTCAAGTAGGCAGGGAAATTATTCTGCATTGGATAACAGAGGTAAGACCTGCTCAGCCAAATTGCTTGGATTTGAAGTTCTCATAAGACTTTGTTTCTTCTTTGTAATATACAGTATATACCATACTATTTATGCTATTTGCAAGTAAGGTACAAGAAATGTTTTTTTTCCAAGATAATATTTCATGAACTTAGAGTATATGCTCTTGAAAATGGAGTCATAGATTTTGTACAGTTTAAAACCAACTGGTTAAAATTTATTTACTTTTCCATATAAATATATCCAATAAAATTACATGCAAAGTCATAAAAAGGATCTAAAAATGTATTTAAATGCAATATATTTCACTGGCAGAAATATGGTCAGTTGCTTCTAATGACTGGGTTTTGGCTTATGAATGTGCAACGAGCTATAGGTTCCTGAACACTGATTAATTCTCATCTTGAAAATGTTTGTCTATTTTAAAACTAGGATAATAATTCATGTTAATATAAACTATTTACAAAATGTCTACAATAAGTGGATATAAACTACAAGAGTTTTTGAAGAGAAAATTCATGAATTAATATTCTTTACTGTCTCCTGATTATTGGAAGATGAGACAATCCTTTCACACATATTAGCTAAAAAGCACCTCCTTGTGGCAGTTACACTGTAAGTGAAATATAATTTTCTATGGCTTAAAAAGAAAAAAACTTCTACTTTTTTTTCAGTCATCTACGTTATCATTTTTTATAGTATATGGCATATAATTTGAAATTTGGCTAGTAAAAAAATCAGGGAAAGTTCCTGCAACAATTATGGTCAGGCTCAGTTGATTTTCTATACCACATCTAGAGAATACTTATTTTTATAATGGTCTATGTTACATAAATTTGATATATGCCTGATAAACGCAACTGCATTTTAAAAATAATTAATAGACTTCAATGTGATACTTAAAATAATAAAATTCAGGAACTGCAGGTAAACGTTCTAATAAAAGAAATTCAAATGAAGATTTCACTGTGAAACTGATCAATCTGAAAGTGTGCTAACTTTGTTTCTGTAGCGTTGGGCCACACACGAGAGAGTGTTTTCTCTTCACTGAGCTAGCATGGTGATATATTAGGAACAGTCACTGATTCATTCCAGAACAAGCATTTCTTGGCTTTAAGTCAAAAAGAAGTATTACTGTTTTCAGCATACCTAATAATGTTCATAATATGGCATGCTTTTAAAGCTAATGCAACATGTATTCTTAAACCATGCATGCTTACTTCACAATAGATGGGACATGTGGGTCTTAACCATTTCCTGTGGTTATTGAAACAGACAAACACAGTTGTCAACAATTGTATTCCTTGACTTCTAGAAATGCTAGGAATAAATACATTTTAGAAAATGTAATGATTTGTATATTTCTGCTATAATCAAGTAAGTTAGGTGTTAAGTATGAAACTGGACCTGAAATTGAATCATCTATCAATTCCTCCCCTTCAAGACTTCAATAAATATTGATCACAATCTGGAGTCGGAACAGAAGGTTAAATGTTATTTGCTTCCAAAGTGTTTTTTTTAAAGATACAAACAGCAGATATTAATATTGTTAAGAGAGCCAGCACAGTGTAGTGGTTAAGGCATCAGGCTACAAATCAGGAGGCTAGGAGTTCTAGTCACACCTTAGGCCCATAGAAGGAGACAATGGCAAGCAATTGCAAAGTACTTCTCAAATTTCTCAAAAGAAAATTGCAGAGATTAGTCCAGGCAATCACTAGGAGGGGTCAATAATGGGTAGAAGGTGCACACATGCATGTGTGCGTACATATGTGAGTGAGCACAGACACATATAGAATGTTAAAAAGATATGTCAAAGTAGAAACAGTGAAAAGGACAGGGGTTTAGAACTTCTTTCCCATCCCATAATACAAGTTAATTATATTGTGTGCCCAGCATTAATTTTGAACAAAGAACCAAAATGTTTTAATTATGAAAATAAAAATTGCAGGTCTTGCCTGAGTGTTGTAATCTGAGGGAAGGCCTCTCTCACATTTCACCTATAGTGGCTGAGTTTTCTTTTAACAGTGACAGTAGGAATGCAGCTTCCATTATATTGAAGGACAATAGGCTACCTGAGGAGCAGAGACCTACCACATAAATTGAATTTCCAGCCCTGCTCTGCTATTTCAAACATTTGTAAGACAAGTTATTAAGAAGAGTAATACAGCTTTCTCCGATAATAGAAGCCACTCCTTTGGCTATTGTAGAGGGAATGAGAGAAACCATTGTCTTCTTCAGGCAGCATAAATATCCTGGCTGTCTCTCTCTGGAGAGAGATTTCAAAACCATCTTCATGTTCTGTTTATTTTTTCCTTTCTATTCTATGTAGACCTTAAAAGTTGTGTTGGCATTAGCTAGCAGTTTGGGAGATCCTTTCTACGATGCATCCATTTCCGACAGCGTGGAAGATATGATGAGGTGAGTTTCAATTTCTGATTATCATTCTTTATACTGATATTATTTTTGTCATCATGCTAAATGAAGAAAAAGAATAAGAAAAACTAAGTCAAATGAACTAAGGAAAGAGATGAAACAAAAGAAATATTACTAACACAAGTCTCAGCTGCCACAATTCATTATATCTCCCCAATCTTGTTATCCTTGCAAACTATTCTTGCTTCCACCATGTCTATCTATTGGTTCCCATGTTGTTTTGGGGTTTTAAACTTCTTACATCTCTTTTCAAGGACCCTTTGTGCTCCATCCAACAAAATGTTTCTTAGCTTTCTTATTGCTCTAAACCAGGACTGTTAAACTCAAGATCTGGCCCAGTGTTTAGATCTGGCCGGTGGGGCTGCCCTGAAAACAGCAAAGGACTGGCCCACGATGCCTCTGGCAGCGAAAACAGAGCTTGGGAGGGCTATGTGTGGCCCTCCAAAACACTGTTTTTATTCTCAATAAAATGTAAAAAAAAAAAGACACTGTTTTTGTCCGCGACGGCCTCCTGCAGTCCTCTGCCAGTGAAAATGGAGCTCAGGGGGGTTGCATGCATCCCCCAAGGTCTGTTTTCACTAGCAGAGGGCTGCAGGAGGCTATCGCGATCGAAAAGGGAGCTTGGGAGCTCGCCCAGGCCACTACAGGCACCCTCCCTGTCATGAGTGACATCGAATTGGCCACCCCAGCCTCCCAAGGTCAAATGCAACTCTGATGCAGCCTTCAATGAAATTGAGTTTGACACCCCTGCTCTAAACCGTTCACTCTTATAGTTTTGTTTTATGACTCAGTCCTTAATCATTTTCTCTATGTAATATCAAACCACCTCACTTCATCACCTTATTTCTGATCATTTATTTTTATATTCAGTTCACATTCATTAAAGACTTTTTTTTTCCTGTTTTACCACAAATATTTCTTAAGTAACCTAGCCCTTCTGCATTCAACAATGAATGGGTAGAGACTCTTGGAAAAAGGCGATACCTCTGGTACCCAAATGTAGGCTTTCAAAGATGGCTACTGTAAAATGTAAAGTTGGCTACTGAGAAGCATTTTGAATGCTATTATTGTTTCTGTTCTGTACAGACATTTGAATACTCGAAATCCGGCAGCCCGGATTGGCTAAAGCGCACGGCCACCGGATTGGCTGAGTGCGCGGCACTGATTGGTCGTTCGGAATCGACCGCGATTGGCTGAGCCGATCGCGGGCGATTCAAAACGACCCGATTGGCCGCAGCACTCAGCAGAAAGTGCTTTTAAGCCGCGCTTCTTCCCCACTCTCCCCACTTGTGTCTTATCCTAATAAATGAGCTGAACCAAGTCACCGACTCGTGTCCTTTGTTCGTATGAGATATACGACACTGGCGACGAGGGTGGGATCTTAAAACAAGTCCCACACCGCACGTGGCCCACGGAACCGCAACCGGCAGCATGGCCAGCGGCAACGTGCCACCCGCTCCCTTCAACCAAGCTACGGAGGACTGGGAATCGTACATAGACCGATTCCTCATGTTCCTGGAGAGTAGCAACCTCAAGGACGCGAACGGGCAGAGGAAAAGGGCCGTTTTCCTCACACACTGCGGGCCCGCAGTGTTTAAAATGGCAAAAGCCCTCGCCAAGCCGCTCGACGTAAAGGCCATGGACTGGGCTGATCTCGAACCGCTGCTGAGGAGCCACTACGCACCCGCCGTGCCCACCCTCATCCGCCGGCACGAATTCTACCGCCGCGATCAGAAGCAAGGGGAGAGCGTCAGCAACTTTGTGGCCGACCTCAGAGACCTCGGGGGCCTGTGCGGATTCACCGATCTCGATGAAGCCCTGCGGGACCGTGTCGTCCTCGGCCTCCGGGACCCCGTCCTGCAGAGCCGGATCATGGCAAAGGGCGACATTTCCCTCGCCGACGCCCTTGCCGAAGCCACCGCAGCAGAAGCGACCCGGAAATCAGCGGCCCAATTGCGGCAAGCCGGCACCGCGGAGCGACCCGCCATGACCGAAGCGACCGCGACCCCCGAGAACCAGTCCGGATTCGACCATCGAGCAGCCGCCTCCACACATCACGGCGATCTCGAATCCCCCTCCGACTCAGAAGATGACGAGGAGGACATCCACCGGCTGCAGACGGGACGCGACTGGCGCGAGCAACGGAACCGAAAATCAAAGTTCCAGTGCGCCGGCTGCGGCGGCGAACACCCGCGGTCGGAATGCCGGTTCTTTGATGCAATATGCCGGCATTGCGACAAGCGGGGCCACATCGCCAAGGTCTGCCATTTCAAACGAAACCACAGCCCCCGCCACCGAGACGGCAGCCGACGGAGACGCGACAACGCCAGACGCGACAACACCCCCCCAAGGAACCGCGACCGGGATAGCGAGAGCCGTTGGAGCCGGGAAGCGAGGAGCCGCCGTTTCAACGAAAACCGCCAGTGCGAGGAAACGCACCAGACGGTCATCGTTGGCCATTCCTCCAACTGGGATGGCCGGAAGGTCCACATGGAGGTCGCCATCGAAGACCGCCCCTGCAAAATGGAAGTCGACTCCGGATCTTACCTATCCATGGTCGAGTGGCGGGAAATTAAGCGGCTAGTACCCTCCATGAAACGGCACGAGCTGGAGAGCCAGAAACTCATCCTCAAAGACTACCAGGGGAATCGCATCCCCGTGGTAGGGACCGGGCACTTCAAGGTCACATTTAAAGGGCGCACCGAAATACTACCCCTAACCATCGTCGAGCGAGACAGCCCCAGCCTCCTGGGACTTCAATGGTTCGCGCCGTTGGGACTAGAAGTGACCGGCACCAACCACGTCGCCGAGGCAGACTGGGAGGAGCAGCTCGTGCGCAAGTTCCAAGAGGTCTTCGACGGAAACCTAGGCAAGTACCGGGGGCCCCCAATATCATTCAGCCTTGACCCCACCATTGCCCCTATCCGCCTCAAACCCCGGCGAGTGCCTTTTGCCCTCCGCCCCAAAATCGATGAGCAATTAAATAAGCTCATCGAGCAGGGAGTCCTCGAGCCAACGGACCATGCCCGATGGGAGACCCCTATAGTCACCCCGATAAAGCCAGACGGGTCGGTGAGAATCTGCGGGGACTATAAGGCCACCCTGAACCGTGCGCTACAACAAAGCGCCTACCCCATCCCAGTAGTGCAACACCTTCTACACTCACTGGGGGGGGCAGGGTTTTCGCCAAACTCGACCTGGCCCAAGCCTATCAGCAACTGCCGGTCGACGAGGAAACCGCAGAAGCGCAGACTATAGTCACACACCGAGGGGCATTCCGCTGCAAGAGGCTCCAATTCGGAGTCAGCGTAGCCCCGGGGGTATTTCAAAGCCTAATGGAGAGGCTCCTCCGGGGCATAAAAGGGGTAGTACCCTATTTTGACGACGTGTTGGTAGCCGCGGCCGACCAGAAACAATTGGAGGGCCGCCTAAGGGAAGTACTGCAAAGATTCCAAAGTGCAGGACTAAAAGTTAAGAGGGAGAAATGCCAACTGCGCACGGCACGGGTCGAATTCCTGGGGTACCTACTAGATCAGCACGGAATCCACCCCACCGAGGGCAAAATAAAAGCCATCAAAGAAGCCCCGAAACCCAGAAACAAAACTGAGTTACAAGCATTCCTGGGGTTGATTAATTTCTACAATGTTTTCCTGCCCCAAAAGGCGACCGTGGCGGAACCGTTGCATAGGCTGCTCGACAAGGCAGCCACCTGGACGTGGGGGAGACGAGAAGAGGACGCTTTCAACAAAACCAAGGACCTTCTCACATCGGACGCTGTCCTCATCCAGTACAGCGAGACACTCCCCATCATGGTAACGTGCGACGCATCACCCTTCGGCGTAGGAGCCGTCCTCAGCCACACCCTCGCCGACCGGAAAGAAGCACCCATCGCCTTTTTCTCAAGGACACTTTCAAAACCCGAAAGAAACTACAGCCAATTGGACAAAGAGGCTCTAGCAATCGTCGCAGCCGTAAAGAAATTCCACGAATACCTTTACGGCAGGACCTTCTCCATAATCACGGACCACAAACCGCTGCTGGGAATACTGGCGGGAGACCGGGCCACCCCAATCATCCTCTCCCCAAGGATGACAAGGTGGTCCGAATTCCTCGCCGCCTACAATTACCGGCTAATCCACCGCCCCGGTAAGTCAATCCCGCACGCGGATGCCCTCAGCCGCACACCATTGCCCACCCTGGACGCTGACCCAGCACCCACCAGATCCACCCTGAGCATCGAGACCTTACCCAACCTACCCCTGACCGCGTCAGACATTGCCCTAGCAACCAATAAAGACAAACGTCTGGCACAGGTCCTAAGATGGGTGGGAAAAGGGTGGCCGGAGAAGGACGTGGACAACGAGTTCAAAGCTTACCGGAACCGACAAACAGAGCTATCAACGCAGAAAGGCTGTCTACTGTGGGGGGGACAGAGTCATAGTCCCAGAAAAATTGCAAAAAGAAGTCCTTAGCATGCTGCATGAAGGGAACCCCGGCATCGTTAGGACAAGAGCCCTGGCCAGAAGTCACGCCTGGTGGCCAGGGATGGACAAGGAGATCGAAGCCTGGGTGGCCTCCTGCAAGCAGTGCCAGGAATCAAGACCAAACCCCCCCGCCGCCCCGATCCTGGAATGGGAAACCCCTCGGGGGCCATGGTCCCGAATCCACGTAGATTTCGCGGGACCAACCAGAGGACACACCTTCCTGGTAACCGTAGACGCTTACTCCAACTGGCTGGAGGTAAGCAACATGAAGACAACTACCACAGACGCCGTCATCAGAGAACTCAGCAAGCTCTTCGCAACCCATGGCCTTCCCGATGTCATCGTGTCAGACAACGGCCCCCAGTTCACCGCGCTAACCTTCGAGAAATTCTTGGCAGAACGAGGGATCCGACACGCATTAACGGCACCGGTGCACCCGGCAGCGAACGGAAGGGCGGAGAAAATGGTCCAATTCACAAAAAAGACCATCCAAAAGATCGAAACCGGGGACATACAAGACAAAATAAACCAGATGCTACTAATTCAGCACATAACCCCGAGCACTATGACGAACAAGAGCCCAGCGGAGCTACTAATGGGGAGAAAATTGCGATCACCGCTCGACCGTTTGCACCCCACATACAACCCGGAAAGACCCCCTGACTCCACCAGCAAACGCAGAACATTCGCACCGGGAGACAGGGTCTACGCAAAAAAACTTACCGGGGACCCCCTCTGGATACTGGCAACGATCACCCAAGCAACAGGCCCACACTCGTACCACCTTCAAACTACCGACGGACGAGCGTGGAAACGCCACATCGACCAATTGAGAGCAAGAACCACCGCGGGAAATACAACCGACACGCAAATACCAGACACTGAAAGGAACCGGCAAAACACCAACCAAGAGGGGAGGGAAGCCCCCAAAGAACAAAAAGAACAAACCCACCCAAAAAGAAACCAGCAGTACTCACCACCTGAAGAACCGGAGAGCGACCCACTCGAAGCCTCACCTGGAAGGAGCAGCCGAGCCAGCTCAACCGACCCCGGAAGCCCGAGCGGGAGCAGCCAAGCCAGCTCAACCAGCCCGGAAAAGCCGAGCAGGAGCAGCGAAGCCAGCAGCTCGACCAACCTGGGGAGACCAGGAGGGAGCCGCGGCGAAGGGCCTGACTCACCCTTCCAGGCGGTTCCATCAACGAGGCGGAGAGCGACAGGAGTCCCACCCGAACCGGCCGACAGCCAGGAGACAACTGACCAGCGCAAGTCAAGTCGGAAAATATGGAGCCCCGCCTACTTATGGGACTACGTCACGTAGGACCAAACCAAGAGGGGAGGGGTGTTCTGTACAGACATTTGAATACTCGAAATCCGGCAGCCCGGATTGGCTAAAGCGCACGGCCACCGGATTGGCTGAGTGCGCGGCACTGATTGGTCGTTCGGAATCGACCGCGATTGGCTGAGCCGATCGCGGGCGATTCAAAACGACCCGATTGGCCGCAGCACTCAGCAGAAAGTGCTTTTAAGCCGCGCTTCTTCCCCACTCTCCCCACTTGTGTCTTATCCTAATAAATGAGCTGAACCAAGTCACCGACTCGCGTCCTTTGTTCGTATGAGATATACGACAGTTTCTATATTTTATTTATTTGTAATTTCATTTTTTAAAAGTATCCTGTCCTTTGTTTGATCAAATATCTATATATTTGGTGAGCAAAGATCAAGACAAATAATAATTCCTTCCTGATTTTTCTTCTCCTTGCAGTAAATCTAAAGCCAATTTCCTGCATCAGCAGATTGATTCCCAGGTTTTTCCCTCTGATCTTCACATCCCACATTTCTCTATTGAAAGTGGCCCTTCAGCTAGCCAAGTCCTTGTCATGGGACCTGATGATTACATTGTTGCTGTTGTAAGGTAAAAGGATTCCTAATTTCTGAACAATTAACCTCCAGCTATGAAAAGGATCTTGGATTGTGATGATGGTAGTGACAATATCTGGCATCTGTGAGAAAGGGTTCCTCTATTTTATGGATTAAAAATAAAATTGCCACAATGATAATCTGCTCATATCAATCTGTGATGGGGAAAGTTCCTGTGCTGTTCTGTTTAACTTTAAAGCTCAGCATTAGATCTCTGCAAATGCACATCATATAGTCTTTTGGGGAAAATAAGAAAAACAAGATGTGGTTTTCTGTCTTCCGAGTCTAGGCAATAGCTCTATTGTTCTCTGGAAGTCTTGTATTCAAATATTAACCCCAAACCACCCCTGCTTTAGCTTCTAAGCATAGGTAAGGTCATCCAACTGCCACCAGTTAAGACAGAACTGTATTTTTTTTTCATTTAAAACAGATATTATAGCAGTAGTAGATTGGGATAACATACTGAAAAAAATAGAACAAAAATATTTCATGCACTTTAAATGCACTACTATCATTACTTAGAAATGTTGTACTGATCTGATTTTGTAATTAGTTTGCAAAATCTGAAAAGTCTAAAAATAATGCAGAGAAGAGGAACTTTTGGTTAAAATGAGAAAAAAAGCTTAAAACAGACTTGTGAGAGAATGCATTGTGTAAAGAAAATTGAGAGGGAGCAGATTATTATTATCCCTTTCTCATAATATTAGAATACAGATAATTCCTGGGTAATTGATTGTTGTGTGATTCAGACAAAGTATTACTTCTTGAAATGTATGGAAAGTGGTACCATAAATGGATCAAGCTACATAATATATTAAAGATTGAACTTGGGTGTGATCTGTAAGAACTCTTTATTCTGGACAGGCTAAAATGATTTATACAGTTGTACAATACTGGACAGTTAATTGATTTGGAAGACTTGAATTCTAGCCCAACCATCTTTCTGTTTTATTTCAGTTCCTTGAATCGACCATTTGGAAGTGGAATAATGACTTCTTCAGGAATCCTTCTAAACAGCCAGATGTTGGATTTTTCTTGGATGAATGAAACAGAGGACCATTCCTCTTCCAACTTGGTAATAAATTATAAAATTATTCCAGGACAAAAAATGAAAACAGGAATATTAGTATATTAGTATGCTCAAATATTTATACCCGATAATTAATTTAATTAATTAATAGAACATTAGCAACATTCTATTATGTTTATAATTTTACATTACTTATATTTTTAAAGAATCATTGGGTTGGATTTATATTAGTGAACCCTCTAAATAAATAAACTTGATTTAATAAGAAATATTGATGGAATGTAAATAAAGATAGTTTTTAGCCAGGATAATTTTCATTCAGAGTCTTTATATTATTGAAGCTGAGCACTAGACAAGTTTGAATCTACTTCACAGCAGCCATACAAGTTAGTTAAAAAAAGAATCAAGATTTTACTGCTAACTTTTGTTAAGTTACTTAACAAAAGCAGGACAGAAAATTCCTGAGTCTATCTAGAAATGGTTTAGCCACTTAAGGTGTCAAGACTGAGAAACTCTAATCTAGTCCTTAAAAATGGTATTTGTACAAAGGAAATTGAAGGAAACATAAGGAAACTGAACCTTGAAGAGCAATGGAAGCTCCTAATGATATCTTTAGCAGTGTTTTAGGGGATAACATCTTTTTCTTGCAGAGGAATTTGATTCAACCTGGGAAACGGCCTTTGTCTTTCTTACTACCCACTATTGTTCGGCCATCAGAAGGGATGTGTGGAACTTACCTGTGCTTGGGAGCCAGTGGTGGAGATAAGGCTTTAAGCAGCATTATGCAGGTAAGTTTTGGGCACAGGATTAATAATTTCATTATGGGAGTAGAGAACACTGCTTTGTTCAGGCAGTGATTCCCATCGATTGGAGGGCAGGTCAGTGAAGTGTAGAGATTCCACAACAGATTTGTGCCTCTACAAGGATTTCCATGCACAGGCTACTGAAAGCATGTTTTTCTGGTGGGAACTTGTTGCTTGCTCAGTCTTTGAACAGTAGACAAGACTCAGGGTAAAATTAAAGAATAATCCATTCATAATTGATTTCATTTCTTTCTGACAGATTTTAATAAATGTTTTGGCATATAACAAAAATCTAAGTGAGAGTCTATCACTTGGACGGCTTCACCCTCAGCTACAATCAAATATTCTAGAAGTTGACAGTAAGTATGAACTTCTACTAGGTTTCCTTTAATATGCTGACATAAATATTTTTTTCCAAAGTATCTAAAACTACTTTGCAGCCCTTCTCTGCTAGACATAGTCCATTAAACTTTATAGCATGCAAGTATAGAAATAAGGGATATTCTTTTACAATAGACTACATAAAAGACTGAGGTTGAAAAGCTAAGCAGGGATAGACTTGACCAGTACTTAGATGAGATCACTGCAAGCACTTTAGGCTAGAGTAGGAAGTAACAAAAAAAAATCTCCAAAGAAAAAATAAATTGCTTTTGTCTTTTTGCCAATATAATTTGATGGACTTTTTCCTGAAATCACTAGAAACTAGATGCAAAATGGGAAGAAGTTACTGTTTCGTTATGTACCTGAGAAAACAAAATGTTTCAAGTTTACTCAAATGGAGCATTATTGCTCTAATGAAAATAACTTTTTCAAACCTTCCTTATTAGGTGAGTTTCCAGAAGAAGATATCAGCTATTTTACAACCAGAGGTGAACATGTAAAGAAAGTTGAGGTCCTCTCTATAGTTCATGGAGCCAGAAGAACAAACAATTTCATAATTGGTATGAAAGACCCAAGAAGTGTGGATGCAGCAGGAGCAACAATATTATAGCAACTCTCAGATGAGTTTGTTCCTCCAAAAAAAAAGGCTTTCCCCCAAAATACATTATGCATGTTTCCAAACAGTTCCTTTATCATTCCCCATAATGTGGAACAAGTGGTGTTTCTATGGGTTTTTACATTGCTACATAGTCCCCTCTGCAATTCTGTACTAAAACAATGAAGCCTGATCAAGATACAGCACAGCAATTAGAATTTTTGTTCATTATGATCTTATAAAAATCTCAGGCATTATTATAATAGCAGCACAGGGAATAAGTTTAATTTTGATAGCTAGTCCAACTATTTGATGCACCACAGTGAAATAATTCTAAATTGAGCACAGGGAATATTTGAGAAACTAACAGTTGATACTGAAAACGTACCATTTTAACAGTGTTAGTGGAAGATTCACTGTTCAAGGAATATGTCTATTTTCACCCAGGTTCTTAATAAAATAACAAACAAATCTAACAATCAAACACAGTTCCATGAGTTTGAATTTGCATGGAAAATACATATATCTAGGAAATATGCCTATTTGCTGATATTGATAGCAATTAATAAATTTCCTCATCTTCAATCTCTGGAACAGTTTTGCCGTTCGTAAGAATGTTTTCTTGATGGTTTTCCTTACATGGATAAACACATACTGAAATAAAGATGTGTGTGCTTTTTTTTCTTTTAAGGTAGTTTGTTTGCCTAACCTTTTAGAGTAAATCAGGCAGCTAACACAGTACCTGACATCCTATGTACAGCGGATTTCAGTATAACATGGATTTACACATATCATTCAAGTGTGCTTGTTAGTTGTACTTCTCTATTCATCAGTGAAGAAAGAAAATGGTACTTTGATAATGCAGAGTGCCTTCATGTCAGTACCTTGAGGATCAAGCAAAAAAAGTTTTGTAAGAACGAATTTATTTCTGGTACTTTAGTGATCTCACTCCTTTCTCAATTATTGTACATGAATGGAAAATAATATGCTTAAGATTCTCAAAATTTCCCTTTGAGAGAAATAATTTGTAACAACACACATATTTAATTGTAACTGCTCTTACTCATATCTCAAGCAATATTAACTTTTATCATCCTCTCTGCCCTGAGGAGAGAAGGCAGGTTTCCATAATCCTCCTGATGGCATCAACTTAATGGTAGATGGTTGACAACTTCAACACATTGAAGATGCCATTTCAAATGTTTTGACACGATATGTAATATCATTCAGTTCTGGATTGGAGCTATGAACTAAGCTATTTTATCCTGCAGAAAACTGAACCTTTTTCTTCTTGGTCTCTATTATTGCTCTCTAGATTGTTTTCATTTATAGTGAAATAATTTTATGTGCAGAAATGATGCAAGCAGAATCATTGTCATTTCGCACAGAATAGACTTATGGTGGCCTGTTTTATTGAAATGTTTGTAAATTGCCTCAATCTAAAGGCTGTAGGTGGCAGCAAGATAAAAAAAAAAGTAAATGAGCCAGTTATAATTTTACATGCTTACAGCTGATGTCTTGCCAAGCATCTCTCTCTTTCATTAACTTGGAGTTCTAATTAAACAAATCACCTCCTAATATACCTACTAGATTAATGCTTGCAAAACTTTTTTTTAATCTAAATCGTTAGTAACATTGCTTAAAAATACTTAAATAAACTCTCAATATTTCTGATATTTTAAAAAATCAACTACAGATGCAGAAAAAAGCAGGAAAAAAAAAGAATAGAATTCATTCATGACACTTAAGACCCCTATCCAGAATGGGAAAGCCCCTGAAGCCCCTGAAGTGATGCTATTGGTTCAGTAAGGCTATAGCAAGAATTTTCCAATGCAAGTATAAATGTTTGTGTATGTGTGTATGTATGTGTGTGCACGCACACACATGCATACACCTAGAGAGGCATATATTCCACAATTGCCCTCAAATTAATTTTCATTTGGTTTAGTTATGAATCATTAGAAAATCAGTCACTTGTTAAAATTAAAGACAATTCACTAAACAGACTCTTTTCTTCACATTTATGCTGCTGCTCTCAATTTATTATAGGAACATTTTTAAATACATAACTATTTCTGTTTAGGTAGTGTTTAGTACATATTAATATTTCTCTTAATGAAAAAATATACTTTGTGGAATGCACAGCGACAAAAATTAAAGCACAGAAATAGACCCTTCCCCACTTGCTTAGTACAAGATATAGGAACTACATCACTGAAAATGAATAAAAACCCTGCTTTTGCAGGCTGCTGTTATATTAACAGATCCTATCAACGTGCAACTCTATGTTTATCTTCAATTGAAAATGGAAAGCTTAAGGAAATAGACAATAGATGTGATTCTATTTCCACATGTTCACTTAATGTTTGAAGAGCTATTCTGAACACAAAAGGAAATTCATTTTACTCAAACACAACAACAAAAAAACTGGAAGAGTATTCCTTCTATTCTATTAAGAAAAAAAAACAGCACCCCCAATTTCATTGCACTGACTACCTTAAATATTTGTTAATTCATTTGAGAATATTTTTAATTATATAATTTCATTTTACTATAATGCTTATCAGTGGGAACTTTAATTATCTACCTTTCTGTATACAAAAAAGTGTGCAGGAAAATTCCCCACCCTGTTTTCCTACCAATTGATCATTCTTTATTTGGAATCACAGGATACTGTTTCCAGTTCCTCTCTCAGGGGGAGAGAGAGAGAGAGAGAGAGAGAGACTTTTGGCTTCCTGCAAGGAAAGCAGCAGAAGCAGCAGAAGTCTTTCTTTCTCTCCCCCAAACTCCTCCAGAAATGAGTCTTTATGAGACTTGTCACTCCGGCACAACTTCTTGGAGCAGAATGCCTTGCAGGGTCCCAAAGACTCATTTCTGGCAGAGTTTGGGGGAGAGAAAGAAAGACTTTTGCTGCTTTCCTTGCTTGCAGCCAAAAGCAGAAGAAAGAAGCGGAAAGAAGCAGCCCAGTGACCAGGCCAGGCACGAGGGATGAGTGGGGCAAGTTCCCTCCCTCTGTCCTTTCCCCCTTTCCCTCACTACCTCATGTTGTTCGCAATGCAAGCAACGCAAGCATTGTGTTCCCATGGGCCATGTGGGCAGCGCAGCCTTATGTTCCCGTGCAGCCTGGATTAATTGCTTTGGGAGGGTGCTTTGGAGGTGACATTTCTCTACAGACCACCAAAATTTTCTCACTGGCCTAGAACCTATCTTTGTGAATTGACTCAAAATCTATCTTTAATACAAGTAACTCATTGAATATCTCTCAATATTAAGAATATTTTTCTACTAGATCATCTCTATTTTAAATTATTTGCTTTGCTTCTGAAGCTAAACTGTCTTGGATCAACTAGTCACTCAGTTTCCAGCAAAGATGCCTGTTGGTCCAGCTGACAATACTTAGAAGGATAATTGGACTGAAATTAGTTGTGAGTGTTTCTAGTTCCTTTCTGAAATATTGGAACTGCAATAGATCTGGACTCTAGAGAGAATGATCAAGGGAAATGAATCTAGAGTTGGTTTAAAAAAAATCATCAATCAGAATTAGTTTTCAAAACCTCAGCCAGAGTCTAGTCCTCCTCTATCAACTGTGCAGTTTTTCAATTATAGAAGGAGTTTTGGATCTCAGTAGGGACCACAACTGGCAGCAGAGGACAGTTTGAAAGAAATTGAATCACTTTCATAAATTAGAACATAATGATGTTCAGCCTAATCCTCAAGAAGAATTATCTAACTGGCCCAGAAGAATCTCTTAGAAAAAAATGAACTGTCAAATGCCCCAAAGTTAATGTGTTCTTATCAGAAGCATTGTCTCCTGTCATTTTGAGGTAGAAAGTATAACTCTCAGGATGTATGTTTAAGATAAATGCTTTCCATCCCTACAAGTTATTCTCCCTAATACTGAGAAGCAACAAAATTTTATTATTTCATATTGTCTCCTCTAAACATGGTTTCCCTCAAACATTAAATGAGACCGCCAAAACTCAAAATGATGTCTTAACAGTCAACAAACAACATAAACTTTAGATCAATTACTAGGATTATAGTTTTTTAATTGTCATGTAACTATTATTTGCTCAAATGTGCACAGTATTGTAGCCATATATTTAGTTTTTACACCTTTTAACATCTAATTATGGGTTGAGTGTCCTGAGTGTTTTAGAACTCTAAAACTAAAGGATTTAATAAGCAATTTGCAAAATAATAAGCACATAGCAATTATTACTAATGGTTGCTAGTTTTTACCAAGTTAGATACAGTATTGAAAATTATAGGGAATAATGCTATAAAGAATTGTAATATCCAATATATTATCAATTATCAGTATAAGGACATATGTCTGTTCTACATTAGTCTGTTCCAACAAGACAGATTTTATGTTACCCAACTAAGGACTGAAGTCAAAAGTGTTATAAGTCTATCTCTTAGAGTTCTTTCTGTTATCTGTAGCATGGATTTCTTCAGTGAGTAAAAAGAAGTTACACTGAGTAAACATATTCATGCATTTATTCTGAGAAAACAACAGGATGCACCCAAGGTATACATACTTTCCAAATTCTAATTTACCATGTAAGTGCAAAATATAACTGCAAAAACTGGAAGAAGTAGTGTGATAATAAACAGTGTGAGTAAAAATTGCAGGTCAAGCATGCATATTAATGATTCTTCCAGTAATAGCTACCATTTGCAGAAGGAATTGTGTGCACGCCAGAGTCTATTAAGCACATGGCTTAATGCAAATTGCTTTTCTGCACACCATTTAAAGTGCTAGATGCCCATTCTTATGGCCTCTTCCAAAAATATATGCATATTTAAAAAACCTTTATGTTGCAAGAGGTGCTACAAATCAGCAAGAACTTATGGAAAATAATGATGATCCTATACTGAGAAGGCTGGGAAAACTAAGAAAAAAAATAAGAAAGAACCCCTGTGAATTAGAACCAATTCATTAGACAATAATATTCTAGAATTGATTGATCTTTATTCTTGGCATTTAATCAATCACAAACCAAAGATTCTTCAGGAAGGACTTCAAGTGCTAGCACTATTTTGTATGCAAAAGGT